ATTTTGTCCTGTTCAGTTTAGTTCGTTAGACCTAACCATAGAATCGGCAAAATCTATATGGACTCCTCATAATTGGTACCATCTTAACATCAATGAAAGTGTTGTTTCCAGGGTCCATAGGGAGGCGCAGATGTCTTTTTTGTCAATATGGCTATGACCTTTGTTCCTTTCGTCGCCTCCTTATTGCCGCCATCCTTGGGAGTGAAAAATGCGTCGCCAAGACCTGTAATCTGTAGTTTGTTTTTGCCGTTTTGTATAAGTCACAACGTTCTAGGAAACCGTAAATCACCCCATAATCCAATCATCTTTAGAATATGATCACAACCAATAACAAATCATTTAAACTGGTTTATTCTTAACTTATGTTACCTAATTAGCATTCTTTCTTTCTATTTATGCATATTTTACTAATCACTCCCCTTTTAAACTGTTTTTGTTTTTTTTTACTGTCCTATACTACACATTGGAATGATTTCTTAATTTATCTATATTAAATAGATAAAGGTGTGCTCTCCCAGCTCTCTCTCTCTCCCTCCCTCCCTCCCTTGCTCGCTCTCTCTCTCCCTCTGTCTCGCTCGCTCACAGAGGCTGTGTGCTCCTCCGTGGCGGTGACGGCTTGCGTTAAAAAATAATAATACACATATTTGTAAAGTGGGGGGACACAAAAGGGATTTCGAAAAGAGCGGGGGACATGTCCCCCCTGTCCCCAGTGGAAATTACGCCATGCGTGTGTGTGCGTCAAGTGCAATAAATATATATGCAAGTTGCAACACACAGAGTAAATCTCTGGCCCTCATGTGCTGTATAGGCTCGCACGACTAGGCTGTTCAATGGGGCTGATGTGTTATGTAGATTCTGCCAGAAGGAAAATCAGCAGTGAGGTGCCACATTGCTTTTCTTCCCGACTGCAACTCTGGACCCGCAGATCAAGCAAGAACGTGATTGGTCGATATTCATTGTGGGGGTGGCGGGAGGAGGGGTGTTAGATAGATATAGAGTTATATTAAGTAGATAGAGTTCGCTATGATTTAGGTTTCGTTTATGCATAGGGTAGATTCTTTTAATTACATTTCCTTTTTTGTTTTGTGTATTTTATAAATGGACTTGCTTGGCGAGCTACTTTTAGAACATGCCCCGCGGGCGACTCACTTTGCCCCTGCGGGCGACTAAGTGCCCGCGGGCACCGTGTTGGCTACCCCTGCTTTAGGTGTTCTCTCAGAACATTGTCATGTACTATCCCGTTTTACATTTTTCTGCTGTTAATGTGTTTTAAAAACCTGGTTCATATATAATCGGGCAGCCTACTGCTCAGTGAACCAAACACAAAGGGATAGGTTAATATGTTTCCATGTCTGTCTTAAAACATTTGTCAGGTTTCCTGTCCTGTACATTGACAGTTCAATTCATTTCTGTCCATGTTGGCCATTTAAAGGAGTACTCAAGTGAATTAAAATTGTCCTCATATAACACAGTTGGAATCATGACGGACCATTAAAAGACATTTTAGTATGAATTATAAGAAATGCAATATGAAATTCCCTTTTAGGGGTTTCCCAGACAGTGCTTGATTTCTAAACTTCAATGAAGGAAGAATTATTTATTTGACTTTATCAGAGGGTGGAGGCTCAAATCATCTTCAAGTAAATGTTGGAATATATCCATAGCTGTGATTACATCCTAACTGCAGCTCTACTGTTTTCCTCTGCAGATACTATGCTGCGTTGAAAACCATGGAGCAGCTGGAAAAGGTCTTCATCCCCAGGTAGGATCATTGTATTAAACCGCTGTAGTGTTTGTAGCTTAGATCCTCATTGGTGATTCATAGTTATGGCAAAATCACGTGTTGCAATCTTAGAAACCTCTCAAACGGCGGCATGATTGACTTTGCTGTTGATGCTCACTCTTTCCCAAACATATTGGATGAACGTATTGGATTTATCAGAACTGCTGCTAGAGACGAGGTTGGATATAGAGTAAGGAAAAAGCAAACTCAACCCATATAGTAAAAATGCTACCATTAAACCTAAGTAATGAGCTAAAAGAGACCGTTCTGTAGAGATGAGGGGACCTTCAAAGTTTGTGATCATATTCTGTGACAGCTTTCACATTACACATGGTAAACAATTATTGTGTGTGTCAAATATTGATTAGTGCAGTTTTAATATAGATTCCTTCTTCCGCCTTAAAAAGCTGTTGCAGCAGGAATTAAAATCTAATTAAGAAATCCATTATGCCATTTTATGGGAAGTTTGAATTTGTATAAATCTTTGAACATTCTTTTCACATTTAATAGAAATAAGATGAATCTGCTTTTGTATTGCATTATTTTACATATCAAATGATACAATGCCGGTTAGATTAGATAGTATGTTATAAAGTGGACCTAACTGGACTGGTTCTGCTGTCTCCTGCAGGGTGAGTCAGTACAGGTTCTGTCAGATCATGGCGGAAAACCTGCCCAGACTGAGAGAAGAGATCAAGGAGATCTCCATGTCGGACCTCAAGGACTTCCTGGAGAGCATCAGAAAACACTCGGACAAGGTCGGAGAGACTGCCATGAGACAGGTATGAGAGGTTGTGTTTCAATAAGTCCCACAGTAGAAGTGAACATGTATTGTTCAGCTCTCTGATGTGTGTGTCTGTCTGTGTCTGCCTGTCTGCAGGCCCAGCAGCACAGGACCTTTAACAGCGCAGTAGCCAAGCAGGCCAGTACGGGCCACTACACCAAACCTGTGTACACCCTCAACGGACAAACACACACTCACAACGGCCTGATGATGGATGAGGACACAGGAGATGAGGATGAAGGAGATGAAGAGGTGAGGAAACCTTCTGTGTAGTTGTGTGAGACAGAAAGTGATCAAACTATAATGACACTTGCACCTGTGTGTCTATATTTGTGTGTATGAGTTTCCATTATCTTGCTACTTCACAATCGGGTACCTGTTTTCATTGGTTGCTGTTTTAAAAAAAATAATTTGTAGATCATATAAATGTATTGGAAATGTTAAAAATATATATATATTTGTTTCTCATGATGTCTTACAGATTCTTACTGCTCAGGACCTAGTGGACTTCTCGCCTGTCTACAGGTGTTTACACATTTACACAGTGCTGGTAGGTGTCTCTCTGGTCACACACACTCACAAAGATACACACTCATCCATAAAAAGGATCATCGAAACGATTTTGTGTAGAAGTGCATTATTCCAGAATTGAACATGATGATTAAATGACCTCCTTGCGTACCTCTGCACACAATGTACTGATGGCTTCACCTCAGAAACTGTAAGGATTTGTGACATGTGGGAGGATTCAAGTCAAAAAAAGAAAAGCAATCCAAGTCCATAACAGCAGAACACAAATTTGATCCAAGCCCTATTCACACTCAAAACAAAATGTATTTAGTTTTAAGTGTGAACAGGCCAAGTAGCTCAACCAACATTAGATATATAACACTATACTTTATTTTACTTTTCAAACAACAAAGACTGTATTATTTCATTTTCAAATATAGATGCTTAAATGTTTATCTTTCACTTTCTCCACTATGATTTTCAGATGTACCCACTATGCTCAAATATCCATATTTCCTCCGCCATCATTTTTTTATTTGAATATTTATTTCTTTGTCATTGTCAGTAAAGTTCGAAGATGCACTAAAACTTTTGTATTTCTCCTCAGGGTGACCGAGAAACATTTGAGAACTACTACAGGAAACAGAGGAAAAAACAGGCCCGGCTCGTCCTGCAGCCACAGGCTAACATGGTGAGCCACAAACACACATGCAGATTGAAGCAGTGTCATGAATCACCCATACTGCATATTCATCAATATACTGCATTTATATTTCATTATTTATGGTTGATATCCCTGACGTCAACAAATGTTTCTTTTCAAGCAGCTTTGACTCAAAGACTTAACAAGTTGATATGCAATTTAGTAACAACAAACAAGGCAGCAATAACTAGACACTTTCAGTAATTTACTTGAATAATGTTTCACTAAAAACATTGGTGTGTGTGTGTGTGTGTGTGTGTGTGTGTGTGTGTGTGTGTGTGTGTGTGTGTGTGTGTGTGTGTGTGTGTGTCCAGCATGAGACAGTGGAAGGCTACAGGAGATACTTCAATCAGATTGTGGGGTAAGATGTTCCTCCCTTTTTCTCTTCATTGTCACAGAGCAACATTTGATTTTAACATTACAATCTGTCTTTCAAGTTTATCAGTCAGTCAGCCACATGTGAACATACATATGAATCCTGATATGTGTGTGTTTTCTGTGTGTGTCAGGTTCTTCGTTGTGGAGGACCATATCCTTCATGCCACGCAGGGGCTGGTGACCAGAGCTTTCACTGATGAAGTGTGGAACATGGCCCTGTCCAAGATCATCGCCGTGCTACGCACACACTCTGTATGCTCACACGCATGCATGCACACGCATGACACACACAGTAACAGCAGGGAGTGGACAGTGAATGAGAAGGGGACTGTTCAGAGTTAATAGAGATAATAGAGCCTGCTGTGTATCTATTTATCCTGCAAGAACCTTCATTCACTTGCTGATACACACACACACACACACACACACACACACACACACACACACACACACACACACACACACACACACACACACACACACACACACACACACACACACGACACTGTGGAGGTCAGCACACCCACAAACACACTAATGATGTCACTCTCAAGAGAAAAGGTCAAAACACACATACGCATGCTGCCAAAGAGGAGGTCATTGGGGCCTTAATGAGAGACAGATTGCAACAATAACAGCAGATTAAGCAGGCATATTCCTGACCGCTGGGCTCCAGTCAGTTGTAAATGACTCAGAGGATTATGCTAACAGGTCAGAGAATGGGCCGCACAGCGTGGGCTGAGCAGACTAACAAAGGCCCTGGTCTCCCCCGGGGCCTCCAGGGCCACGACACCGGCAGGGTCCAACCTTACAACCACGGCATGGTCAGCCCACAGGCAGAAGAAATGGTTTTTCACAAACCTGTCCATGCAACGGTCCCCTTCTAATTCACCGTCAATTGTCAACGATTTTATTGCACATAACAAAAGGTGTTCATACTATTAGCTATCGGAATACACAAATTCCACACAATTCAATTTATTTTGTTCGCAAACAGTTAGAAAATAAAATGATAAGACATAATGGATATATGTGAAATGGGACAGCTTGCTAAACTATTTCAAACTAGGAATAGGGGCTCCGACACTAAACTAAAAGTATTTACAATATAAATGACAGATAAATCTAGAATATAAAAGAGTTCATGTATTATACAGAGACATTTACAAGCTAAAAAAACAAACCCTAACACTAACCAAATGCCCTGAAAACTAATAATAATACCGTAATTATAATAAAATAATCTAACCCTAAATACTACATTCATTAAAACAACAAATTGAAGAATCGACTTTTAATTAATACCAACGTCATGTCATATTCACATATAGCATGGATGAGAGCATTATACCAAGAGACTCATAAAACTGTCCAAACTGGTGGTATACATTAGTACCACTGCTGTGATTGCTGCTGTGTAGTGCAGTCTCCAGCTGATTGTTGGTGTGTGTATGTGTGTGTCTTTGTAAACAACAGGCAGCTGGCCGCTGCTTTAAGTCAAATCTCAGGCTGTGTTCATTTACTCTGGTGATTTACACACTCCTGTGTTTGGCAGGATCCTTGTTAGAGTGAGGGGACTCAACTGTGCTGCTTTCAGGGTCGTAAATCACTCTACACCTAGGAAAAATGGAGACACCTTGTTGTTCTTGATTGACCCTTAGCTTAGCCCCTCCCCCATTACTTTTGCTACGCCTGTCAAGCTTTCTATTATAACATTATGTACACAGTTTACAGGGATAACTGTGGAGGATGTGTCTCAGATTCATATTTGTAGCATTTGTAGCACTGTGGGTAACTCACCACTGAATTCTGATGAGCAGTCTGGCACCTTGTATAGCATCAGTGTAGAAATATGTGTGGATGGTTAAATGATGGCATGCAGTGTAAAAGCTCTTAGTAGTTGAAGGACTAGCAAGGCACCATTTAAAATGCAAATCCTCCTACCATTCACCATGATAATACATTTTGCCCAGAGGTTTGACCATTATCTCCTGCATACAAAATGTTTAATTATGAATTGTAATTCCTATTATTTTTGTTATTGTATTAAGTTATTTTTATAATATATAACAAAGTCAGTACATTTAGATCTATCTATTTATTTGTTACATTTTGTTTTACAGAGTTAGGAAAGCAATGTTTAAGTCAAGCTTGATGATGCCTAACAAATGATCCCAGTCTCTTCATCCCAGTGAGACATACAGCTTATTAATGAAACACTGATAACATATAACGTGGGATGAGTGCACCCCTGAACATACATTTGATGCACTAAAAACACCAATACGGAGGTTAGAGTGGTGTGTTATTGTTGCAGTTAACAATAACAACAACTGCTGTTTTTCCGATCGCATGCCTTTGGGTGTTGTTTGCTGATTATGATGTTTGTTATTCCCAGTCATACTGTGATGACCCGGACCTGGTCCTGGAGCTGAAGAACCTCATAGTCATCTTTGCTGACACACTACAGGTTGGTTCACAATGTGCTGTGCTTCATTTGGACATTTCCATAAGCATGCAGAGCAACTGTGATGAACACACATGATTTTCTGTGTGTGTGTGTTCAGGGTTATGGATTCCCAGTGAACCGGCTGTTTGACCTGCTGTTTGAGGTTAGAGACCAGTATAATGAAACTCTGCTGAAGAAGTGGGCTCTGGTTTTCAGGTGAGCTTTGATCATGGGTTTGTCTATAACTATTTTCTGTTCTTCATTTTACATGCTACATTTCAACATTAAACCCAGCTGTAAGAAATTTTGCGAAGACATTTCTTGCAATGATAAAGAGTTCCTTTAGACATTTTTCTCTCAGATTATTTGTAAAGCGTTGTTTTCTGGCTCATCGTAAGGTGCATGTAGAAGAGTAAGGTCCTAAAAGTTTCAAACTCAGACAACACTTGTACAATTAAGAACAGCAACACATGTCGCAGAGAGAGAGATTCGCAAAGCTCCAATACTAACCCTAAATGTAAATGTGCACACATTAAATTGTGTTGTTTTTTTTTCCACAGGGAGATCTTTGAGTTGGACAACTACAGTCCCATCCCCGTGGAGACAGAGGAGGAGTATATACTTGTTGTCAGCCGCTTTCCCTTCCATGATGCTGAGATAGAGAAGGTAACAAGTTCAAGTGCTTTACACTGACCAACCTGTGCAGCACAGTTTCAGAGCACATGTTTCTTTTAACTCGCTCAATCAAATCAAGTAGACCAGAATTCTACTGCCACAAAGTGCATTTTGACTTGCCCCTTTGGAAATCTTTAAGTTAATTGTCATGTTTAATCTTTGGTTAAGACAATGAATGTAAAAAAAGCCCCCCTTCAACCAACCCTCTTACCCTCCCTTACTATCCACTGCAATTAGATTTATAGAACCATAAACATTGAAGCAAAACATTTGACATTTTAAAACAGAGTGTATAATAGATAATGAGTCAATTAATACTGTCATTCTCTGTGTTTTGTTCACGTGTGTGTAAGCAGCTGGACTTTCCAAAGAAGCTGCCAATGTCCCAGTCCGTCCCTCAGATCTACACGCAGGTCAAAGAGTTAATCTACGCAAGCCTCAAGTTCTCTGAGTCTCTACACCGGAGGTTGGTCCACACAACATTAACATGGTTATACTTTGAGTATTTTAGAGCAAATTCTAGAGCATTTCTATAGTGCTAATTAGGGATGGGTACCGAGCCCCGGTATTAAACGGGCCCTGGGGCTAAATTATTAAAGACCGTGGTACAGTTAAGCTCCGACGTTATCGGTCTTTTTATCAGTAGGCTACTGGAGACATGTAAAAAATATATGTCATATGTATTATTGCTACATAAACATTATGTTGCAGTCTTCGTGTCGCCAACTCCGTTTCTAATATGCAAAAAGACAAAAAAAATGCGTCTATGATTATTTTTAGTATTTTCAATCTTTCCAATCCAGACGAGAGATCTCTCTCCCCCGCCTGCTTGCGAGGGGGCGGGGCAGTTTACACACACAGCTTCTACATGCAGCAACACACACACACTGCGGAGGTGGCGGAGAGAACGCGCTCCGAGGTGTGGTTCAACTTTACCCGTCTCGATGTGGACAATGCTTGTTACCAAAAGTGCAATAAGAGTTTAGCATGTAAGGGCGGTAACACGAGCAATTTGTCTAAACATTTAGCAAAAGTGCATCACATTCAGACGGAGGAATGCACCGGGTTCGACTGTCTTTCTAGTAGCTCTGTAGCCCCATCCACGAGTAACGTTTCCACATCAGGTGTTATGTATGCTAGCAGCAACACACAGAGTTAACTCAATTATACAAACATGGGTTAATGATTAGAGGTAACTGAGTTAGTTAGTTAGTTAGTTTGTTAAAGTTTCAGCTATTCTGTTTACAATTCTGTCATCAGATTATTTAATATGATTTGTTTAAACATTGTTGTCTTTTGATGTGAAATATTATTTATTTAATTTAAATGAAAAGCAATGTTAGTTTTGTTCACAATTTGTTTAGTTAGTTTACCTTTTTTTTCTCCAAAAGAACCGATAAAAGTACCATTAAAAGACCGGATCGATAAGCGGTATCGATAAAAGTAGTAGTACCGTTAAAACCTTATCGATACCCATCCCTAGTGCTAATATATATATATTTTTTTTTTGTACAACTAAATATCTAAAATTAATTGACAGAACATTTGTTTGTGTGTCCAGTTCAACAGAGATCGATGACATGTTGCGGAAATCCACCAACCTGCTGCTGACGAGAACACTCAGCAGCTGTCTGCAGAACCTCATCAAGAAACCTCACATAGGACTGACCGAGGTATGAACCACTACTGTTACAGAGCACAATCACACACACTGTTATTAAGTCTGACAATAAGTCTGAAGCTGTTACCTTGTTTCTCTAGCTGGTGCAGATCATCATTAACACCACCCACCTGGAGCAGGCCTGCAAGTATCTGGAGGAGTTTATAACGAACATCACCAACGTCTCCCCTGAAACAGTTCACACCACAAGACTCTACGGCTTGTCCACGTTCAAGGTGAATGTGGGTTTGAATTGTTCTTTGTCAATTATTGAGTTTTCATTGTTTCTGCTTGTCTATATTTTTGAGATAAGTGTTGCAAGGGATGAGAGAATGCACATCGTTTACTTTGGTTTCCAACCTTTTGACAGGCTGTTCTGCTCCTACAAATAGACCTGCAGTCTATTCGGTTTTTCAGAAAGCAATGTGATTCTACCCACACCAGAGATGGAGTATTCGAGTCCTGGACTCGAATACCGATTTTCGGGACTCGACTCGGACTCGCGCACTGATTGAGGCGACTCTGACTTGGACTTGTGAATTCTCGCGCACGATGACTTGAACTCGGACTCATGAATTCTCGCGTATGATGACTCGGACTCGACTTGTACATTGACTCTCCGACTTGGACTCGGACTCGAGCAAGTTTTCTCTGGAGTCTGATGTCCTCTATCCTGGCGTGTGCACCTGTGAGGCGAGTTCACGGACTGGGACCCGCTATTCCAGTCTAGAGATGTCTAGAGACACACCCCGCATCGTGCTGTATGCTTTCACACATTCTGCTTCCACATTGGAAAAGAGCAGCGCAAAATGCTCGTTATGTGGAAACAATATTGAAGAGCAGGCTCCGTAACACATTACACTAAGGATTTAGTTCAGACATATAGGCTGTCTTGAACACTATCATCAGAGTAACGTGATCTAATCAATAAATAAAGATTCAGCCGATAACACGAAAGCACATGACTACTTATCATGCAGAATGTCGTCATTTTGCATGCTAAGTAGCCATGTGCTTTCTGGGGCTTAATCTTTATTGATAGAATTTAAACATTCACTATAATAATTGTAGCGTCCCCGGCTGAATGGTGGTCAGACTCTCCAACTGATGGTATCTGTTTATTGACCACCCTTGCTTGTATACAATCATTACAAACGTAAGAGCTTGTGCCCTTATCAGCCCGGTGCTAAAAACCGAATGCAACTATTTAGTATATGTAAATGTATTCGTCATCTATCCGTCATTATACATGTGTGTTTACACTGCTTCGCTGTCCATTGACTTCCGGTAAAAGTTC